CTCCCGGGCACCAGAGCTTTATAACCAGACGCTCTAACCACTCCGCTAAAAGGTCTAGACCCATCAGCCGGGTAGCGCCTATAACCCCCACTGTTACAACTAGACTCTGGGCTGATTTTGACTGAATAGTTCCATACGGTTGGTAGTGACTTGGTTTATATATATATATATATATACACTATCTATAAAATACAATATAATCCTCTGTTGCAAAGATGAATTAAATAAACAAAAGGAATTAGGGAAAATTCAGGTCACAAGAACACTGGGCCACAAATTATTCCACCCCACATCTGCTTGGAGATTAGGAACATCGTACGTGGGAGAATTTCATTCACGACGCACAACAAGCGATAAAGCGTCCATATCTCTTTACAAAAGACTAGACAAATGTCAAACATTCTGACAGAGAGATCAAAATAGCATCATTGAAAGGTAACCTAGAATATAGACTAGTACCAAGGCTTAGCTCGTCGGCTACAGGACCGGCACGTCCCCGAACTATTCTTGGGGGAAAAAAAAGCCTGTTAGCCCCCTTGATTCTTTGATGAATGCCAACATCACTTAGCCTGGAAGCCAGACTAACTGAGGGGGCGACCTGTGGTAAAATTTCCTTGGGAACATGTTGGCCGTGGAGCCGACGAGCTAGCCCCCGCCAAAAGACCCAGGCTACCTTGAGACAGACTAACATCTATCTCTTGATGGCGATTTTGCAAGCGGCTAAAATCACCGGGGCGGGCGTAGTTAGCCAGGCGGCGATAGAAGCTTACAGCCTAGCCCTCGGAAGAGACTGGTGGCCAGGCCACTGGAAGGCTGCCAAAGGTAGGAAACCCAAGAGTCAAGAAGTATCTAACAGAATGTCAGCCCGATGCTGACCTGACATTTTTATCTGATTGACACTTGGATAGCACGTCTTGTTTGTTTCAATGAACTCATCAGGGTTATTCCATGTCTAGACTATCTACAGATAGGAGGGGTGGTCAGGTTATTTTTGAGGGAAAGGGGAAAAAGAAAGGTATACGTATTAGAACACCCTTCCTAAAATTTTGAATGGTTTAGTCCAACTGGGCTTATACTTTATCATTAAGTAATGATAGATAAATAAGTAAATGAACAAAAACGATGAAAGAAACGCATCATGAAGAAATATAACGGGGGACGACCATAAAAATTATCCAACCACCCTTCCAAAACTTTCGAATGGTATAGTCCAACTTGGCCTAGAATTTAAACCACAACAGACGACAAAAATGTGCTTAATAACTCTTCGACCTCCCAAAAGAAAACACGCACTTCCGAGCCATATACTGGTTCACATTTCTTCTACCCAAATATGACAACCGACAGATAATCAAAACTAATCTATAAAAGATTAGATTACCGGAACAGACACAAGATCCGGCATCTGAAAAATAAAATATCCGGTCTCTCCATGTACATGTGTGTGTGCAGTCCAGATGTACACAAAATAATGTAGTTATGTCCAAACAAAGAGAGAGAGAGAGAGAGAGAGAGAGAGAGGAGGGGGAGGGGGAGGAGGAGGAGGAGAGAGAGAGAGAGAGAGAGAGAGAGAGAGAGAGACAGAGAGAGAGAGAGACAGAGAGAGAGAGAAAGTTTCCGTAAACAACCAAGTTGAAAATAAAACGTAAGCAGCCCTTCTATGACCTCCTAGTTCACATCTTTGCGGACAATCTAATATTTCTTTATTTCCATCTGAAAAAAAAGAGTCTGAAACGACGGATTTTCATACAAATTTTTAAGGAGAGTGAAAAGGGGCGCAAAGAATTTAATTTCTAAGATAACGTTAAAGCTTTAACATCTTCCCGACTATGTTGAACATATGTTACGGATCGGTGCAAGGCACTGCAAGCCTTGTCTCACCCTACAAATACTTGTAACAGTGGTAACAGGAAGCGGGTATGAATAGGGTGTCTGACAGCGAGGACTATCGGATGTACTAAGGATGAACTTGAACCCACACTTGGGACGTATCCATGACCTCCAGACGACCTAAGGAACGATCTACCACAGCGTCTTGAAAGTAGCGTTTGTGTCTGAAGCTCTAAGAGCTGCCATTAAGAACACTGGTGGTTTCTTCGTTTAGAGACATTAAAAACACTTTCTTGATGGATAGCAACCACACATCCGCGCAGTCACTTTCGTTGTAGATCGGTGCACGAATTTTATGCTGGCTCTGACAGAACGTTCTAAAAGACACCCTTTTACGTAACAAGACAGCCGAATCTTGCCCGACACATGCACAATTGCCCCAAGAATGCTCTCGGTTTGTAGCCTCGATCAGGCTTCGGGGGGCGGCTTCAAAGAGCAGAAGTTGCGGCAAACTGTACTCTCTTAGCGGACCAGCTTCCCTGGCATATTATCTCTCTATTGACAATTTTTACTCTTTCCTGGCGCCTCCCGAAGACTGGTAGAGGTTACTAAGTTTAGCCTGGTATCCACCCTTATTAGGCTTCATCTACAATCATCAAAGAATTGTTGTACCGTACTCTGTATCTTTACAGTGCCCCTCTGATTAACACTGATAGCTGCCTGTGCATCTATCATGTCTCTGCTGTATCTATCTTCCTCTAAGTACGCTTGTAAACACGAGGCCAGACATCCGTTACTCGTGCCTAGAATTGTACGGAGGAGCTGTTTCAACATCGCCCGTGTTGGGAGGGTAAATTTGCGGACACGTGTGATCGCATGCACTGATACATACTAAAGAGATGCTCAAACAAGCACCCACACCATTTCCCTCAGTACACTGTTATCCCCATTTTCTCTACGTAGCCTGGATGTCAGACCCCGGCTACACATAATACTCCCTTCGGCCAGGGGGAAGCCACAAGCCCCGATCGTAGCCTCTACCAGGCTTCGGGAGGCGGCAAGAAAGAGTAGAAATCGGCCAAATAGAGAGATAACATGCCGGGGGAGTTTGTCTGCTGGGAGAGAACATTTTGCCGCACTCCTTCCAGCCACCTCCCGAAGCCTGATAGAGACTACCCGATCGTAGTCTAGTTTGGGTTTCGGCTTATTTTTGGCGTGTTTTTAGGAATTTTTATCGGGCTTTCTTTTTTGTACTGGTATCTTTTCTTGTGCCTATCCAACAAAGGGTAATACAGAGTGCAAAACATTTTATGAGAACGTTCCCTACACTGCTACATATCCCTCAGGCAATACGTCTATCCAGAGCGTAACTTTAGAAATTGCTTACAAAGAAAAGAAACACAGCGTGTGCCCTGCAACAATCACAGTGAGAGATTTGACGTAACAGGACACGTCTTGTAAAGCTCTAATCGTTCCAATATGCCAGCTGGCACACACTATACTAAAGGCTTATTCTTTCCGAAAAGAAAAGGTGCTTTGCGGGTGCACATGTACCCACTGACATCTTGATAAACATTCTGGGTTTGGCTGTAGTGAGTGACACAGCCCTGAAATCTCCAAGCAGATGTTTGGGGTGGAAGATCGCGATGTTTTCTGACTTCCGCGCTTCCTGACAGTAGAAGAGAGAGATAGAGAGATAGACAGAGAGAGCACGCACGCACGCACGCACGCACACACACACACACACACACACACACACACACACACACACACACACACACACACACACACACACACACACACACACACGCACACACAGGCACACACAGGCACACACGCACGCACACACACACACACACACACACACAAACAAACACACAGGCACATACGCACACACACGCACGCACGCACACACACACACACTCACACACACACAAACTAGAACTTTAACAAAACGTCATTTGAATAGTCCCAATATCTTTTACGAATGACAAAATTGTTTCTGGCACCACACGTGCCCACATACGTGGGAATGACACCCAACCCTTGATGAGAACATTTGGTTCGAATCATAAGAACGTATAACGGCATGGGGCCTTGATGAATCTTGAAATTGCGTAAACAACATGTGTGAGGACCATATATTCTAGGATATTTCACAGAATCTAGGTGTTTTCGATCCAAAACTACTGAAAACATCGAAGTCCCAAACAAAAAGTGAACGGTCGTCAATTTGTACTACAGATAACAGAACATAATGTGGAAAATCACCAACGCTGGTGTACTACTCCAGGGCATGATTTGGATAACCCACAAGATCCCACTAGAGGCCAGATGCCAGTCAAAATTGTTAAAAGGTGACCCAAGCTGGAATACCTGAATACGTCGTACAGTTCCTACAACTTACAAGACCGAAGACTCGACTCTAGTTCGTTACTATATATCTACAGTACTACTCATCTGTAGTTTCGTGTTAGCCCCGTTGCCATGCCATCCGATTTACGGGGCCCCTTGCACCCACTGGCCCGCATAACTACTATAAGCAACCCCGTAGCAGATTGCAAATCGGATGACAGCCGGGCTAGTTTCGTGTACCCTAGGAGCCAGACTATATCGGGCCGTTAGTCGGTTTCCTTCGGTAGCCAAGTCCGGCCAACTCCCCGTAGCGGTAATTAAGATAGGCGGCCGGATTGCTCTTGGCTACCGAAGGAAACCGGCTCACGGCCCGATACTAGTCTGGCTCCCAGGGTAAGTTTCGTGTATCGTTCTCGACTAAGATTTGGGTCCCGACGCGGTGGATTTAGGTCTAATTCCGCGGCTCATCCCCGTATGTGGTACATGGGTGTCACAAACAGCGAGGATAATCAAACAAAAACAACAAAATTAATTATTATTTGAGTCGCCAAATTTACAATATGCTGTATATATATCAAAGACATCGACCCTCAACAAACGGAACCACTTGAGCCACCTACTTTGAGGTAGCCTGGTACCAAACCTATTACGATAGCTCCCGAGTCCTACAACCTCTCACATATATCTCCCTTCTACTTCCATCATCACATGTAAAAAAATTATTCTGCACGATTCTAAGAAATTATGCAACAAAATTACACTCAAAGTTGTTGATATGTGATAACGAAAGACGTGTAAAATAATTCATGTTCTACCTGATTTGGGAAAGTCTCCGTCCTTCATGGTTCTCCGCCAGACCTCGGCGTCCCTTCTCGGTAGCCAGGCCGTACCCCCACCGCCGGAGTCTCTGGTAGAATTCCTCACGTTTCGCTGCATTTTATCCCCGACGTCTCCGCTAAAAATACCGCCGAAATCCTTTTCTTCCTGAACAGCCGAAGAAAATCCCTCGTCTGGATCCCGGCAAAATCCGCGAAAAGTACTTGCTGTGATAGCGGGGAGTCCTGTGTTATGAATGGGTCGTCTGTGGTCTTCTCAGATTTGGTACTCGTATACATACGGTTGGGACAAGTTTCTCTTGTGTGAGGCAACGGCTGGCATTGACTAGCACTCTCTGCCTCAAAAGACGACAAAAATACAGCAAAATTTCACGTATTCTTCAGTTTCGGGTCGTTTCCACACGCGTAGTAGTAATCTCCAATCCACAGATACTCGGATCCCCTAGTCCTGATCGTGATACCGCGCACGATTCAGATACTATCCCGAAAAGGTCGACACACAAACACACACGGCTATCGTCCCATCTCGTCTCACTCATAAACTTTCCCCGAGAACTCTAGTGATCTCCAGTCGGAGCAAACAGACCAGGGGGAACGGTTACTCTGCCGGACGCGACATGTGCTGCCCATGTGCGGTGATGGCGCGGCTGCCAACTGTGGTAGAATGAAGCCCAGCGGCACCAGAGGAAACACAACAGAACGTGACTGACCCCTGCAGGGCGAGGCCACGCCCACCGCCTGTTTCCGGTCCGGGTCACGTGACGCCCTGGGCCCGCCCCCTGGGTCGTTACGCCCCGGGGACTGTCGACCTTCATTAGCGGCGTCCCGTTTCAAGGTCAACGGCCGGGAGACTTAAATATCTCCGAATGTGACTCACGACAATAAGACTGCATACTGTAGTAGAGTGCTATATACGAACATATTTTCCAAAGAATGACTAGCCTCTACCAGGCTTTGGGAGGAGGTTGGAAGAGTAGAAATCGGCCAAATAGAGAGATAACATGCGCCAGGGGAGTGGCAAAATGTACTCTCTAGCGGACCAACTCCCCTGGCACGATATCTCTCTATTTGGCCAATTTCTACTAGCTCTTCCAAGCCGCCTCACGAAGCCTGGTAGAGGCTATAGAATGACATTCTACATAGAAAGTATGTTTACAAGCTTTTGGGAGAAATCTCGTAGGATCGAATATCGTAGGATCGCGTTTTCAGTGAATATCTACTCTTTCCAGTCGCTTCTGAAGCCTGGTAGAGGCTATTTGTCTTGGGTTCTTTTACGCGCATGGTCTGGACTCCCAAGGCCAATGCTCTGAATATCAGTTTTATACTTCGACAGGGCTGCACTCCATATAGTATACTAGTGAAAACATGTGATTTTCTGTTATAGTGATCGAAAGTAAGTTGTATGGTCGTATGTATGATATGATAAAAATACTCTATTCTGATCCCAGTTACACACTTATTTAACTCCTCGTTTTCATAATTGTTTTTGAAGCAACACTTTTCCTTGTCAAAATCCAGACATTTAGTATTAGTATAACATTAGTTCTAGAAAACTGTTACTAAAAATACTTATTATCTAATATTAAATAAACGCATTACAAGCTTCAAAGTCTAGCATCTGCAGAAGGAATATCTTCATAAGAAAGTTATTCATGTTATGGATCGTAACAAAGACCTCAAAGCCTGTTTCTTGTGCGCGACAGTTTATTGAAACATCAAATCTGAGCCAGCTTTGATGTCAGAAGAATATTTGTTTACGTTCGCCACAAGCCAGCGGTCTTCAAAGTTGTAACAGTGCTATAATATCAACATGTAGTTCACCCAGGCTTGCGTAGTCAAAGTGTCGAGTAGAATAACATCAACAAAGAGATGAAAGAAGGTTGGGGAATAGTTTATGTTTCTTGTGGGACGGTGAATGGTTGCATGTGTGTGGCCCCTGGCCTCGCGACTGTCAGATCTGTGCAGATACGCATGTGACGACATGTAGGATTAATGTTATTCTGTAAGTTAGCCTGGTAACAGGCGAGCTTAGGGGTACTTTTACCGGCCCCGTGAGCATAGGCACCCTGGCACCCAGGCTAAGTCCAAGCAGATGTTTGAGTAGAAAAAAGAAATATCGCAATTTTTCTAGACTAGCTATCATATAGCCAACTGATATGATAGCGATGATAGTGATGCCCAAGTTTTCAATGAATGTTTTCTCCAAGCAGATGTTGGGGAGTATGTAATCGTCATTGAAAAGAGAGACTGGTGAAAGATTTGAACCATGTGCTGATAGGGGAAAACGTGTCCCTTCACGCGGGTTCCTTGGACTCACTTTGAACATTTCCAAGAAATAGAGGGTCACTTTAGAACAGAAGAACAACACCTTTAAAAAGGTGCTAGTTAACCTTTACCGGATTTACCTAGACCCGAGAAACATGTGCGGCATCCCATAATGATCACTGATGACGTCATGAGGCAATTTCGACAGTCAGGTGGGATTAGGCTAGGCCAGCTCCCAGAATCCTCTGGGAAATCGTGGTCTGGCCGACGACGTTTTGCGCTAAATTCAGGAAGGCACTGGCTAGATCTGCACATATGCGCTTTACGCTTGTTTTTGCCTAGCCTGGGTGCCATCCCCAGTAGTATATTCGCCAGCTCTATAACTGGTTATAGAGCTGGCGAATATACTACTGGGGATGGCACCCAGGCTAGTTTTTGCCTCCACGTTACGTGTAATGTGTGCGTATTATCTTTGTATACATTGAGACAATTTATACTTTGCCACTGATCTGCTTATAAACGGATTATTATTATTATTATCATCATTATTATTATAAACTCCCATGGCATGTATATTTGGCCATATAATTGGCCAATTCGTACTTTTCTAGCAGCCTCTAAAGCCTGGTAGAAGCTAGAGGAGCCGGCCTTTGTAGAGCCCTGGAAACTGTCTGGTATCCAGGCTAAGGACACAGCTAAGTACCAGGCTTCAGAAGCGGTTAGAAAGAGTGAAAATGTACAAGATAGACAGTGAACGGCAAACTTTACTCCTTGATAACTTAGCGGACAAGCTTTGAATTCCCTGGTTATTATATTTGTCTATTTGTCCAATAACTCAATTTTTTCTTATTTCCAGCCGCTCCTGGAGCCTGATAGAGGCTACTACACGAGCAGTGACATCACTCCTGAAGCCTGGTACTCGGGTAGAGGCTCCTACACGAGAAGTGACATCTGTCTCTCGGCAGGACACAGAAGCACCTGGCCGGATCCCGCCGGATCCCCGCCCGGCTGACGGCGACCGGAGGTGCCGCGGTTTGTTCAGCTGTGCTGCGGAAGTTGTTGTGCCTCTCCGATCCCTGGTGTTCCTGTCCTGTAAGTGCCTGGTACAGACGTGATCTCCAAGCAGATTCGGTTAGTCTCCTTTGGATCGATCATTTCCGTTTTTTTTTTGGGGGGGGGGT